AGCTGGGGATGCTCTGGGTGGCCACAAAAACATCTGGTTTGTGGCAGAACCCTGATGGGAAAGCAGGGCTGGGGGCCCTTCCCTGGTGAGTGCTCACAAAGAGCTCCTTGGAGCCAGGACTGGCTCCAGCAGCAAATTCCCGGCACTGACAGGATGGAGCTGCAAAGGCACAAAGTCTCTGCACAGCCCCATCCCGGGCCGTCACATCCCTCCATTCCCTGCTCCAGGCTGGAATGCTCCTGCACAGCCCATCCCTGCCACCCCTCTGCTCTCCCAGGGCTCGGATCCGCCTGGTTTCACGGTGTTTAACACAGCCCCATCCCCTCCCCTTGGCTCCAAATTCCAAACCTGCTCTGTCAGAGCGTTATTTTTCCGGGTGGGCGGGGGGGAAGCTCTGCCAGCTGCTCCCTCCCATCCACACGCAGCCCCTGAGGTCTCGGCAGAATTCCCCATCCCACAGGGACTGCCGGCAGGAAGCAATCTGGCAGACAACATGTTAAGAGGAGACTGATGTCTCGGAGCCACTGAACCATTTAATTGCCAATAAACACAGCCCACATGTAAATAATTATGGAGACCCAGGAAGGTGGAAGGAAGGAGCTGCCAGCCTGGAAACGCCCCGTGGCAAAGAGAGAAATTACGATTTCCTGTTAATAGAGGAGGGATGAGCATCAGTAAACCTGCCTGGATATCTCCAGGCTTTGCTCTGGGCTCGGGGTGGCCCGGGAGGTGACAGTCCCTGCTGTGGTGAGAAGGACCAGGCTGTGCCCTGGGCTGAGTTTGAGGGTAAGTCTTAAAAATTCATCTGTTTGCTTCTCCAAGTTCTTGTTGCAACCCAGTGGAATAACTGCAATGCCTTTTCTTGAAGTGTTTTTGGGATAAAGAGCTGCAAGGATCCAGAACTTTGGAGCTTTGTCAGCATCACGCAGAGGGTCAGCAATGGAGCCCTGGTAAAACCTGCAGGGGCCTTTCATCTCCCTGCCAGGGCAGCCCATCCCATTCACTCCTTGCAGGGACACCTTCCACTGGCCCAGGTTGCTCCAAGCCCCGTCCAACCTGGCCTTGGACATTCCAGGGATGGGGCAGCCACAACTTCTCTGGGCAACCTGTGCCAGGGCTTCCCTACCCTCACAGGGAAGGATTCCTTCCCAATATCCCCTCTGGCAGTGGGAAGCCATTCCCCTTTGTCCTGTCACTCCAAGCCCTTGTCCAAAGTCCCTCTCCAACTCTCTTGGAGCCCCTATAGGGCCAGGAAAGGTCTCAAAGATCTCCCTGGAGTCTTTGGCATCCCCACCCCTATGTTTCCCCCCCTGAGGCTGCCCTGGTTCCATTCCTGGTTCCTGGAGCAGGAGGGGTGTCACCAGGCAGAGCCCCCCACTGCCACCACCGAGGAAGCCGACTCGGTCCAGCAATTTGGCTTTTCCCAGGGGCTGAGAGGTTCCTATGGCAACCAGGAGCCGCTCGGCAGCTCTTCCCTGCGTGGCAATCACAGCGCTCGCCTCTATGGAATTAGTGCCGGGCACCCGCACGCCGCGCACGTGGCCTTGGCCTAATTGCCTTAATTAGAGCCGGGAAATGGGCTGGAGTGATCTGGGGGTGCAAACAACCACCCACTGCCCCCTGCCTGGGACCCCGCTGTGGTGGGACCCCGAGGGGGGTTCTGGAGCATCACCTCGAGGTCTTTGCTGCCAGGGGATGTGAGATGACCCTGCCCCTGCTGCAGGAAATGTCTGGGACTCCCTCATCCCTCCTAAAATTGGGTATTAATACACAGTAAAAGTGATGCTTTGGGTGTGGGATTTTTGGGGTGTCTCCCAGCCCTGCTCCATCCTCGGCCTGCGGGAGAGCCCTTGGCAGCCGCACCGAGCTGGGATGTGGCTGTAGGTTTTTGGGACTGGCACAAAGCACCCCATCCCTCATCACCAGCTCGGGGGACAATGCTGAATTAAGTCTGGCAAGTGCCAGATTTGTCCCTGAGCGAGGGCGCAGTGACCGTGGTGTGTGACGGAGGAGCTTCTTGGCATCGGCTGCGGGAGCGGAATGACGGATAAAACCGATGGATGAGAAGTAACCCGGGGTTTAGGAAATCTTGGTTCATTTGCTGCAGCGAGAGCCTGCTACACTCACAGAAATTAAAATGTGAGTGCTCCAGAGTGTCTCACGGCGAGTGGAGGCACCGGGGGAATATGGGATGAGTCGGAAGCGGGTGCGTCCATAAATCAGCTGCGGCGCTTTCAATAATTCACCACTGCCTGAAGGATCCAGCGGTTCACAGAGAGGTAACATCCGTGGGGAGGTGTTCAGTCTGTCTGATCCCCATGGGAGCCAGCCCCAGGGTGTCCAAGGCCAGGTCAGATGGGGCTTGGAGCAACCTGGGTGAGTGAAAGGTGTCCCTGCCTCTGGCAGGGGGTGGGACTGGATGAGCTTTAAGGTCTCTTTGAATCCAAACCATTCCAGGATCATTACTGGGGCCTGAGCTGTAGCAACTGTGTTTGTAGCCAAAATAAGTGGAAAGAAGCCTAATTTACTCATGTACATATTGCAAATCTGCCTCTTTAGCTGGAGCCAAGGCCCAGGGAGAAAGAGTTGAGCACAGCTGGGCACAGCCCATGGAATCTGCTCAGAGAAATGTGAAAGGTATTTTGCAAGACCTGTCAAGGAAATCAGCAGTGGTGGCTTGGGTTGGAATATTATTCTTAAGAAACCAGGAAATAATAGTAATAAGACAAAATGAATCAACGTTTTCTAAGCATTTTCCAGCTCCACAAACAAAATCTGCCCGACAATCCCAGCTCAGCCGAGGAGCTCCTCTGTTCTGGCTGTTTTGTCATCACTGGTGACATCCAGACAGAACAAACACAGCGAGGGGGGCAGGGGGGCTAAAACCAGTGGAAAATTACCAGGCTAATTTTGTTTGCTGTGCTTGATTAGGAGACAAAGGAGGAAATTTCCAAGACTACACATGGAAGCAGTGCTGATCCTTGGTGTGCATTTAGAGCTGATGCTCATCTCAGTTCATTCTGCAGCACCAGGACAAAGGGCCTCATCATCTGCAGCCGTGGGAGAAACCTGGATGGGGATCAAATAATGGGAATAATACCTTGCAAGTAGGTAAGCTCTTTCAAATGATAATCTCTCGAGTGCTTTTGAAAGAACAGCACCGTAATAAATTATATTATCTGCCCCTTAGAGCTGCAGACATCCAAACAGGCTGAGCCTAAATGGCCCAGGTGCTTCCTGCTGTTAAATCCCACTGTGGGTTGGTCTCCAGTATTTTCCCTTTTGGAGGTTTCTGATGAGGAAAACCCCATTGGCAGGGTCATGACACTGAGGGAAGTTTTCCAACTTTCTGAACAGCCCAAGGCAGAGAGAGATCAGGAATGAGATGAGAAATGAGGAGATTGTCATTCACAGGAAGGTGGTCCTTGGAGGCGCCCTCACACAACTCAGGGAAGTGTCAGCATCCTGGGTACCTGAGTGTGAACAAGAAGCCACCAAGTCACCAGAGGTAGGAGAGTGGGTGTGGGGGACAAAAACAAACAGGGAGGCTGAAGTCACATATCTGGGCTATTGATATCACTAATTATAATGAATTTGAGGAGGATCATGTGAGCAAAAAGCAGATGGAGACCCATCTAGATGTAGCATTCCCAGTTTCCAAGTCAGTGACAACTCCAAACAGATGATTTTGGATGTTCCTGGGCTGTGTCCTGGCAGATGGGGGAGCTGCAGGCACCAAATGCCAGTACAAAAGAAGATCACAGAATTATGGAATTGTTTAGTTGGGAAAAGACCTTTAAGATCGTCGAGCCCATTCATTATAAACCATTTTTCAACCAACAAAAGGGTTTGTGAGGAGGAAACATGCTCAGGCAGAATACTGGGCAAAACTCTTAATAACTGAGGATGATTTAACAAAAATATCCCCTTTATACCCACGGGTTCCTGGTAGAAAAGCTCCCAGCGGGTTCCCAAGGAAAGCTCTGCAGAATCAGCCCTCAAACATGTTTTCCTCCCCAGTTTATCTAATTAATTTACTTCCATTAAGAAAACAAACCGTGCTCTCCTTCATGTATCCGGTTTCTGTGAATCGGAGACGGCGGCTCCGGGATTTCTGGGTTTGTTCTCAGAAGTCACTCGGCTTTTAGTTCACCCCCTCAAAATAGTGTTTTCCCTCTTCCTGCAGGTAATTTGGGGAATGAGCAAAACATCTCAGCAGGGGGACCTGAGGGTGGGGATTTGCTCTCCCGGGCCTCAGTAATTGCAAATTGCAGTCTAGTCTGGAAACACGGAAGAGGAAACCTCGTCCTCCTTGTGGATCAGTTCTCCAGGATATTTATGTGGATCTTTAAATGGTCCTGCAGATAAATGGTTGCAGTGATGGAGATGAGTGTGGGAGGGGAGCTTTTCCTCTTCCCAAGCCACCCACCTTGTCACAATAATGTCTCTGAACCAGAGCTGGGGGGAGAAAAAAAGGGCAAGAAGAGTCATTTACGGCAATTTAGGGGTTTTAATTAAGAGTGTAAGAATAGAGGTTGTGATGGGAGGAAATGAAGAGAGAAGGAATCAAGACTGGTAGTGACAGGACAAGGGGAATGGCTTCAAACTGACAGAGGACAGAGTTGGATGGGATATTGGAAAGAAATATCAGACAGCTATGGGGACAGAGATAAATACATCCAAGTCAGCATCTTCCTGGGATGTGACTGAGCTGCAGTCGAGGATTTCTTGGTTTTGTGGCATTCACACCAATACACACACACAGCCTGAGTTCTCTTTTAAAGCCTTTATTACAGGAAGGACAATCAGGGCTTTACTTGGCTCCTCTGGGATAAGCAGCCCAGCACAGCCCCAAGGAAGCTGCAGGAAGCCAAGGAGGGAGCTGCTCTGTGGGAACAGGACAGAGCTCACTGGAATCACCTTGTGGATGCATCATTGTCTCCACTGGCCACCCCATAGCAAGATCATGTGGTGCTTCTAGGATCACCGTGAAGGTCTCAGCAGGAAGGTGAGCGAGCAGCAGAGTGTGGATGGGCATGAGGGGAGCGGGTTAGGGATCCTGCTGGGATCCAGCCGGCTCTGTCTGCCCAGAGGAGCCTGAGCTGCTCGCTGAAGCAGGAGGGATGGCCGATGCCAGGGCAGTTTCCATGCAGGGGTGAGGATGTGCTGCCTTGGGGGCTTTAAAGTCCTCAGCCCCACAGAGCACAGCAGCTCCTGGTGAGCCAGAGGCACGGCCACGGGTGGGCAGGAGCCACTGGGGCCCCAAGATGTGGTGGCTGTGGGGGTGCTGGAGTCTGGGGGCTGTTCCCAAAGGCTTCTCCTGGGAAATCAAGAGGTTAAAACTGGGCTGGGCAGTGGGTGCAAGGAGATGCTGCTTTCTGTGTGTGCTGCTTGCATGGAGCAGCCTGATGGGCCTCAGAGGCACCTGAGATGCCAAGGAGTATCTGACAAGAGAACCCACCCTTCATCCAGCAGTTTCTGGGATAGAGCAGCGTGGCACTGGGATTCCCACCTCCACCACAGGAACCTGAACACGGACACACACCACTTAAACTGCCCAGGGAGCAGAGATTGAGGCATCACCCCCGGAAAACTCGTCACTTGGGATCTCTCGAGTCGTCCTCGGCCGTGCAGAGCAGCGATGATTTCAGGGATGGGCCTGGCTGCATCTGCACATGTGGCTGGAGAAACTGGGACGCCCAGTCTGGTTACGGGGGCGGCTCCTCCAGCAAGCCAAGCAGGTTATGGAGTCCCCCCCCAGTTCCAAACCAGCTTGCCTGCTGTCGGCAGCCACGTGTCCCCATCTCCACCTGCAGAACACACGTTTCTGAGCCTCCTTTGTCCTTCCACCAATAAACCACAATTTAAAAGAATAAATGTGCAGCAATTTCACGGCTCCCCGTGCAAGGCGACCTCTTCCCAAGGCACAAAGTGCTGCCTGTTGCTTAGGAACAATCTTTATCCTACAGAACGAAGACGTGTGCTCTCCAAAGAGTTTTTCAAATGCCCCTAAGGGGTGTTTGCTTTGCCTTGCTCAGGCACTGACCCAGCTTCTAAATGTACCACAGGGTGAAGTCTGTGTGCTCCAAATATGGCACTGGACACCTACAGCACCCAGCCAGGATTTGGGATAGAGGGATTTGCCCCATCCCCAGCCATGATACTCGTCCGTTGCACTGTTTCAATGAGCCAAGAAACTGCTGTTTCATCAAAACCTTTGCCTGGCTCAGGTGTTGTTGCACTGGTTTGTTGCCCCCAAAGAACAAAACATCCTTGAGCTGCTTAAGTGATGAGGACACTTTCTTCATCCCTGGAAGTGTCCAAGGCCAGGTTGGACGGGGCTTGGAGCAAGCTGGGCTAGTGGAAGGTGTCCCTGCCCGTGGCACAGGTGTTGCAATGAGAAGAGTTTTAAGGTCCCTTCCAACCCAAACCATTCCATAATTCAAGGACACAAAGCCTGTCAGTTTTGTTGCCTTTCCAAGCATGAGAGACTTTTCTGGGAGCAGCAACAAACCAGCCCAACCAGCAGCCACCTCCCCCACCCAGTGCCTGCCAGGTCCAAAAGCAAACCCTCTCCCTTGAGGTCCTCTAGCTAAGATAACCTGGTCTGCAAAGCTATCTTATCCGAGGCAACGGTGGGAGCATCTGCCAGGGTGGAGCAGGTGTTGAAGCGGGAAGCCTTGCAGGACATGGTGACGGAGCTCTTCTTCCTGCGGTAGAAGTAGGTGCTGAGGTGGAACCAGAACTTGTCGTGGAGGGAGGCGTAGATGAAAGGGTTGTAGCAGGCGGAGCTCATGGCAATCAGGTGGCACGAGACCTGGATGACGTTGACGTACCTCTTGTCCAGGATGGTGAACTCCTCGTCGATGTCCCGGATGAAGTTGACCACCTGGAGAGGGAGCCAGCAGATGGCAAAACAGACCACGGAGACGGTGAGCACCCGGAAAGTCTTCTGCTTGGTCCTGGTCCACTTGTCCTGGCAGTGATAGGCAGCGCCCGGCACGTTCCTCCTGCGCAGGTGGTAGGTGATGGCACAGAAGGAGACAGACACCGCCAGCAGCGGGAGCATGTAGGACAGGAGGAGCATCAGACACGAGTAGAGCAGCCGCTCCCTCTCCTCGTGCTTCCAGAACTCCTCGCAGATGATCATGTCGTGGCCGATGGCGTTGAGGTCCAGGTAGTGGGTGTGCAGCGACGTGGGGACGGAGGCCATGATGGAGAGCAGCCAAATGCAGGCCACGAGGCACACGCAGGCCCTGCGGCTGATCCGCCTGCGGATCGGGTACGCCACCACCACGTAGCGGTCGATGGCGATGGCCGTGAGGGACAGCACGGACACGAACACGGTGGCAGCCTGCAGCAGGGTGACAAAGTGGCACATGAATGCGCCGAAGAGCCACCCCCGCGCCTCGAAGGCGTAGGACACGGTGAGGGGGACGCAGGCCAGGCACATGATGAAGTCGGCCACCGCCAGGTTCCCGATCAGGAAGTTGGTGGTGCAGTGCAGCTTCTTGGTGAGGGCGATGAGCAGGATCAGGAAGAGGTTCCCGGTGCAGGCCACGGCCACCAGCGTGGCGTAGAGCGGGATGAAGAGCGGCTTCAGCTCCAGGAGCAGGTCCAGGCCGGTGAACAGGGGGGCTGAGCTGTTGTGCCAGGACTCGTTGGGCAGCTGAGCCATGGCAGCCACTGTGGCTGATGCAGCTTCTCCGCACCTCGAAGTCAAGCAGAGATGATCCTGTGAGCCCTGGCGGGGAGAGAAATGCGTGTGGGTTGAACTGGGCAGAAGGAGCCGTCCCCAGCATCCCGGTCCTCCTGCACAGCCCCTGGTAAGGAGCAAAGTTGGGAAGCTGGCTGTGAAATGGTTAATCAGCCAGCCCAGATCTGCGGAGAGCTGCCAGCCCGGGGCAGGAAAGCAGCTCCGGAAGCCTCATGGAGAGTGACCTGGGAGCTGCGATGCGTTAAGGCAGAAATAAAAGGCACTCCTGCATTTCTTTGCTTTTTATTTACCCCAGCGAAATCCATGCCGATCAGCCAGCCCCCACCCACCCAGCTGGGCAGGAGGGTCCTTTCCATCCCCTGTGCTCCCATGTTTGACCCCCTTGGTTATGTCTCCACTACCCAGGGAACTTTGGCTTCTCCTGTCTTTCCCTATAGCAACTGAGGGAGGGAAGAAGGAAGGGGGTACCCGGCTCCCCGGGAACCTCCACAAAAGCACTCACAGAAGCACAGAGGGGAAGAGGTCAAATATATTCCAGCAGAAAGTGTATGGAAATGAAGAATTCCCCTCCAGGACCCTTCTCTTGGACCCCACACTGTCAAAATTAATGTTTCATTCCCCTCACCGGAATGTGAACAGTCTTTTCCCCCCAGTGGAGAGTCAAACCAGCATTAATTAAGTAACCCCTGTAATTAACCGAGGGATATTGTGGTTTTCTGCACCCCGGCTGCACAGGCAGAGCGCACGCTGTGGTATCACAGCTCCGGATCCCCGTGCCCTGCCCGGGGCAGGAACACAGAAATCATCTGGAAACTTGCAGCCGAGGAGCCGAAACGCTCGTTAACTTAGAGAATGAAAATTCTGAAGCTCAGTTAACTCTTTAATTCTGCTTCACGCCCCCACAGGAGTCGAAGCTGCCCTTCTGTGCTTCGCCAGGGTCCCGCTCCCACTCCGGTAAAGGCTGAACCCGCGGCTCTGGCTGGGTTTTGGGGGGTCCCGGTCTGGCTGAGGGACCCCTGTGTCCCGGTCCCGGAGCGCTCTTACCTGCCGGGGGTCCGGGGTGCTCCGGGCTGGGAGCCGCCCGCTGCCCGCCGCTCTTCCCGTGAGGATGAGGAGGAGCGTTCCCTTCGCGGGGTGTTGTTCACCGGGAGGCTCCGGCACCGCTGCTCTCAGCCGGGTTTTTGTGTTGTTGGGGTTTTTTTAATCTTGCTGTGTCTTTTTTTTTTTTTTTTTTTCCCCCCCTGCCGCTGCCTGAGCCTTTGAGTCCCGGAGGAACAGGGCGTTCCCTCTCACGGCGCTCTCACGGTGTTGCAGGTACCGGGGAGGGACGCGCACATCCCTCTGCCCCGCATCGCGGGTGGAGCCGCATCCCGCCCCCCGGCCCGGCGGGGAGCCCCCCGGGGGCTGCGGGGCCGCATCCAAGACATTCCCTAGGCTGGAAAGGAGGGGAAGGCGCGGAGGGGACGGCGCTCCCGGGGGTCGTCGGCGGCTGCCCCATCGGGGGATCCCGGGGGCGAGGGAAAAGGGGGAAAAGCGGTTGTGGGGCAAGGGCAGGGTGGGCTGAGGGTGGTCCAGCCATTAGGAATTGCCCCAAATGAGAACGGGAACCAGGGCTGGACAGTGTTGGTCATTTTTAGCTCTTCTTTTCTTTTTCCATTGAAGGAAACCCAAACCTTTGCTTCTCCACAGGCATCTCTTTAAAGCCTGAGGCAGCAATTCCCATCGTCCCTGGGGTAAGTGTGCAGTCCAGGGCTAATGGATTTTTACCAAGGGCAGTACATGGCTCCTGATCCAGAGTCTGTTGCTGCCCATCAGCTCCATTTTCTTTAGAAGCCTCTGATTCCATGCACAAGATTTCTTCATCTTTTCTTTCATATCTTACTTAAATAAGGGAAAATTAAAAATACTCGTCATCCATTGGTATTTTTTGGGGAGTAGGAGGGGTGGAAATTGTCAGAGCAGTCACTGAAGTTCTGCAAAATTGAGAGTTTTGGTGCGAGGTGGTGATTAATTCATCCCAATCTGAGCTCTTCCCTCTGCTTGGGCTTATCCTGGAAAAACCTTCTTTGACCTAATCATTACTGCTTCCAGACCCTGCAGGAAAAGGCACTCTTATTCCCAAAGCTCGTTATGCCCCGTACCAGGGTCCTGGCTCAGGGGTACAAGAACGGGTTGGAAAGCTGCAGCCCACCCTGCTGGTTCCCAGTTGGAGAGCTGGAGATGCTGGAAGCATCCCAGTGTCCCTCCCACCCTGTACAGATGATTGACAGGAATCAGTTGGCTGTGATTTTATCTTTTCCTTTGTCTCCAGGGTGGCTTTCAGAAGGAACCGCAGGTTTTCCTAACGCAGATCCTTGAGATCTTGCCAGTTCCAAAGCAGGATGGGATGTTTAATGGCCATAAGCTGAAGGAGGGAAGGTTTAGATGGGATATTGGGAAGAAATTGTTCCCTGGGAGGGTGGGGAGGCCCTGGCACAGGTTGCCCAGAGAAGCTGTGGCTGCCCATGGATTCCTGGAAGTGTCCATGGCCAGGCTGGAAGGGGCTTGGAGCAACCTGGGCTGGTGGGAGGTGTCCCTGCCCATGGCAGGGGGTGGAATGAGATGGCCTTTTGGGTCCCTTCTAACACAAACTATGCTGGGATTCTGTGATTCTCAGCATCACCACAGGGTGCTGCCAGCTCGTGCTCCTGTGGGATCAAATTCCCTCAGCCCAAGCTCATGGTGAATCCCCTTTCTGCCTCTGAGGGGGCACAGAAATGCAGCTTCCTATGGAAAAAAAAAAAAAAAGGTAAAAACCATTGTCCTTAAGGGGTACAAGGAGAAGGGGGCTGATGTTTCCTTTGTGATTACTCATTTCTCACGCCTGGGAAATCGTGCCCTGTGCCTTGCTGGCAGGTCTGTGCTTGTGCCTCGTGGGCTGGACGTGATGCTTTCAGACACCACTGCTGCAGACCTGCCTCACTGACTGAGAATTGGCCTTTTTCTGTCACTGATGGCTCTTTTGGGTTAAACTGTTAAAAAACAGGCTGCCCAGGGCAGTGGTGGAGTCAACAGCCCTGAGAAGGATCTAAAAGCCGTGTGGATGTGGCACTCAGGGACACGGTTTAGTGGTGGCCCTGGAAGAGCTGGGGTTGGACTGGATGATCTCAGAGGGCTTTTCCAATCTAAATGGTTCTGTGACCTTCCTCTGTGGGAATTATTTCCACATATGGGAAGGCTGGTTTTTGCTGTGGGAGCAAAAACCAACCCTAGTGAGGCTGCTTTGAGGTTGTACCCAAAGTTTGTTTGAGTTTGTTTTTCCTAAAATAAACCACTTTGCTTGGAGGTAAAGTCCTTGCTACTCAAACCACGTGTGGCATCACCAATTGCAGCGACACTGCTCGGACACACCACGCTGCTTTTCACAGTTTCAGTGACCTTGTGAAGAAGTTTTTGAGGGTTTTTTTAATGGTGATTTAAGTACAGACCCACCCCAAGTCTATATTTCATATTATCATTTAATGATCTATAATCAGAGTTAAATAATTCCAAATTATATTTATTATACGTGGGAGACAGAAAAAAAAGCTCTATCTAAGGAATGAATTAATTAAGGAAATTATTGTTTACTCTTTGCAGTGATCACTTGGCTTGGTTTCCTTCTGCTCTATGTGTTTCCACAGAGCAGGTCAGAGAATCCTGGAACGGGTATGATTTTTACGAATGAAATGAGATTTTTACAAATGGAAAGAGCTGCTCCCTCAGGTCCCTTGTCCAAAGGAAATGCTCGGTGACGTGGATCTGCAGTTCTTTCAGCTACAGCTCTTTTGGATGCACTTCTTTCTCAGGTACCTTCAGGAATATATAAAATAACAGAAACTGTCCGGAGGTGACCGGGAGAGCAGCACCATTTACGCACAGAGACAGGAAACCGGGAAGGTCCAGCAAGAATTTACTCTCAAAAATGTATTTCCGAACAGGTAACATAAGGAACACGGGATGAATCTGGCTTGGATAAACCCCTAGAACTGCAATTTCCCTGCAGGAGCTCTGACAGGCGTGTGCTGCTTCCCTCTACCGACCCCCAGTGTCGGTGCCGAGGTGGAACACATGGATCAACCAAAAATCAGCACAGAATTACAGATCCTTTGATTAGTAAATGGAAATAACCCTCTGCAGAGCTAAACAGGGTAAAAAAACCCCAATTAAATACTAAATATACTTCAATTCAGAGAATTCTATGCGAGTCTGTGATGAAAACAAGCTGTTTGTGGACTCTGGTTATCACTCTTGGTTTCTTGATACAGAATCTCAGCTGATCCTCTTTGGGAGAGGCTGAAGGGATAAAGAACAGGTACAAAATGACAAACAAGAGGAAAAACACTCCCCTTCCAGTCTATAATAGAGAGTTTGGGCAATAAAGTAGGGGTATTAGGGAGTATTAGGGAATGTGAAATAGGTACAACATCAATGACACCATCAATTTATTGACTGCAGTGAGAGTCTCCTTCAGGGTCCCAAAATTCACAGGGGTGAAAATGATCTGTCTTCCTCCAGGCACAGCTTGGGGTCAACTCAGACTGAAACAGGGAAGATCTGGAGAAAACACCCCTGTGGACTTGGCAGGAGAGGAAAAAATGCCCAAGAGAGTAATAAACAGGAAGAAGACAGAAATAAGCTCTGCTCTAGACTGTGGTGTTTTCTGATCCCTCTCAACAACTGCTTTGTTTTTTTTCTTGTTTAACGTGTCTCCTGGTGGATTCCAAACAATCCACATCCAGGCTGAAATGATGAGGTGGCTGCAGGCTGGGAGAAGACCAGAGTGGGGTTTCTCTTCAGCTGCATCGCAGGTGCTCTTCTTCCCCTCTTGTCCTTACCAATGTCAGTCGCTGTCTCTGGAGCTCCAGACCTGGAATTTTGTGTGTTGGGGGGTTCTTTTTGCTTCTTGAACCACTGATAATTTGCTCTGTGCCCTCCTCCCTGTTACCACTACGGCTGGGAACAACTTCCTGAGGGCTGGGGCAAGAGGCAGCTCTGGGAGCCCTCACTGCTCTGCAGCCGGAGGCTCTTCCTCGTTCTCCTGCTTCTCCGGCTGCGGTTCCGGCGGGATGAGGCACTGCACCTCCTCGGAGCTGATGGCCACCTTGTCAGGCTGCAGCCAGCGCTTCAGGTGCTCCAGAGTGCTGGGGGGACAGAGAGAGACACACACTGAGAGCAGGCAGCAACAGAGCCTCGCAGGAACGTGCGGAAGGAGCGACGGGAAAAGCCTCCACGGGTAATTCCTGCCCCTCTCTGGGTATTCCCGTTCCCACAGGTGAGGTCTAGCATTGGATTGATCCATATCCCAGAGAAGCAGGCAGAATCTGGCATTCTACAAAGCCATGCTGCTGCAGTTGGGCTTTATACACTCTGGTTAGAAAAGTTTTATGCTCAGATTTTTCTCAGTGTAAAGGGTTCTTTTCAACCTTTACGTGCTTGGAAGTTCCCTGCCTCTGATGCCAAAGATTCCAACTCAGTCAAACTGCCAGAGGGCAGGGTTAGATGGGATACTAGGAAGAAATTCCCTCCCTGTGAGGGTGGTGAGGCCCTGGCACAGGTTGCCCAGAGCAGCTGTGGCTGCCCCATCCCTGGAAGTGTCCAAGGCCAGGTTGGGCAGAGCTTGGAAGCAACCTGGGCTACTGGAAGGTGTCCCTGCCCATGGCAGGGTTTGGAATGAGATGCCCTTTAAGATCCCTTCCAACCCAAACCATTCTATGCCTTTCCAGCTTTCTGGGCTGGAAGAAAGAAAAACATACTTGTTTTCAAACCAACCAAGCCCCAAACTGCTTCTTTGTGATGAAGATCAGGAAATACAGGGGGGGAAGGGAAGGGCACAAAGCCAAAGCAGGAAGCACATCCAAAACTGTGTGTGTGCGTGTTAATAACACCAGAAGGCTAAAGAACATATATAACCCTAAAAATCTAATAACATAGTTCTGCGTGCTTAAAAGTTAAGGCTTGTTTAATTACATTGGTGGGTGAGACTCAAAACTTCTGTACCATTCAGGAGTGACCTCTAACTTCATAGCCAAATTCTAGGGACTAAAATTCTTTCATGGATAACATCCCCAGCCTTTAAAAACAGTAGAAAGAGGACATAAAGGCTTGGTTTTAAATATAAATCCCACTGAAGTTATCTGGCCACAGTAAGACTCCGAAACCTCCTTATAAATATGGATTATTTTTCATAGTTAACTCCCAAACTGGCTTAAGTAGATTTTCTTCAAGGGAGAGACTTTCAGCCAGAAGCAATCATGGAAAATGTCAGCTGAGAAAGGAGGAATTTGGAGAGCATTCCAAGTGATTGGGAATGGGAGACTGCTGAGGAAGAGGACTCTCATCGAGGACTCTCATCTTAATTCCTTCATCATCCAGGAGAAGGTAATGGGTGGGAGAGCAGAAGCACTGCAAGAGAGGCATGGAGGGGAAATCTCATCCCAGGAGTGGCACCAACCCTGTAATGACCCCTAAATCCCAACCTGAGATACACAGGATATTTCCTTCCTCTGCTCCATTCCTTCCCTACCCCACATGCTCCGTGTGTTCCCTCTAGCCCAAGCCAAAGGGGCATTCCCAAAATCCTTCAGAAAGCCTGGTGGCAGCCTCTGGGAGCTGCAGGGAGGAGGGATTTCTCTGTAATGCCCTGACAAAACCTTACTCTGGGTTTTAAGAGGTGACTGTCGATCCCTTCTCCCCGACTCGCTCGTTACCTCTCGTCAGCATCGTGGCCCTCCACGTAACATTCCGCCTCGAACTTCTCCTGCAGGAACCTGTCCCAGCATTCCTTCTTGGCCTGGGACAGCGTGCGCAGCATGTCCTTGGAGGTCACCTCCTGGGACAGGCCCTTGATCCTCATCAGTCTTCTCTCTGAGAAGAGAGGAGGGGTCTTTATTTAATTTTTGTTGTTTGTTTGTTTGTTTGTTTGTTTCTGAAGGGAAAGAAGAGAAGGATCTGGACTTCTGTATCAAAAAAAAAGTAAGTTGAATTAACTTTTCAAGGCTAATTTCTTATTTAAAAGGAATTTCCACCCCTGTATTTCAAGCCTGCACGATTCTATTTCTTACATATCCACAAGACGATATTTTTAGGTGATGCTTCTGAAGGAAATAAGGTTTGTGCAATCAGTTAACTCTGCTCATTTTGGGTTTTAATAACTTGCACAGTTACTGCTCAGTTTCCATGAAATCACACAGGAGGGCACAGAACTCACAGGCACTGAGTTCCCGTAATTTTCATGCAAATGGGAACATAAATCACACTCACTGCACTGCTTAGTGCACTGTAAAACAGCAATGAAGGCAAGATGGAAGCTTCAGCAGAAATAAAAGCTTAAAGAGCCACTTCTGCCACCCCTTCCTCCTGCCTTGTTGCTGTGTGCAGCCTCTAACTTATTGGAGCGGGGGGAGGTAAAGCCCAAATTTTTTAGCTTTTACTTGATAAAAAGTTGCTTTCTGTGGCAAAGCTGAAGAAGCTCTGAGTGAGCTTCACATTTGCTGCAAGAGTGCAGTAGGGGAAAGGAGTCAGATTCTCCATGGAATAGCTGGGGGACCTTCGGCCCAGAGCACTGCCACGCAGACAGAGGTGTCACCAGGCCCGTCAGCGGCGGGGGACACTCACCCAGGGATGCCAGATACACCTCGGAGTCGTTCAGGGGTGCCCAGGGCTTCAGGCTGGGGCGGGAGGAGTCACTGGATCCGCTGCCCTGGGCGTAGGAGTCCATGAAGGAGTCTGTGAAGGCATCACCGCCGTCCTTGAGCTCGGGGTGGGGCAGACAGGAGCAGATCTCGGCCCAGAGGTCCTCGCTGGACCGGGGCACCACGGAGTCCACGCTCTCCATCATCCTCATCCTGGAGTCCTGGGATGGGGGAATAAACGGTGAGCACCGAGCAGAACCCCCCGCCCAGGCCTCCCCCTGCCCGCCTCCCTCGGCCCAGGTCACATCGGCGGGCGTTTCGGGGAATTCTCATCCCACCGGGCAGCCCGGCCGCCCTCCGGGAAGCGATGACACGCTCCAGGGTGTCGCACCCAGGGAGACCCCTTGCGAGACAGATGGGCGGTCCCCCGCCGGCACCGCACCCCCTCCGCCCCTTCCCGCGGAGCGCCGCGTCCCCGCCGCTTCCCGGGCCGCGGAGGGGACACGGAGGGGCCGCGGAGGGACCGCGGCGGTCCCGCACTCACCGCCCGGTGCACTCGGGAAGCCGCGGCAGCTTCACCGCGCGCGCCCCCAGCGCCCGGGGCTGACCAATCGCCGCGCGGCCCCGGCAGGGACAAGGCTCCCATTGGTCCGCAGCGCGGGGTATCGGCGGGGCGGGCGGGGCGCGCTGGCGCCGCCGTGGCGCCATGTTGGAGAAGGGCGGAAGTTGTCCCGGGCGGCGCAGGTGAGCCTGTGTCACATTCCCGGCGGGAAACGGGAAGTTTCGGGGTGGCTCTGAATCCCCTTCTCTCCGCAGGCCGCTGCCGTGCCCTTGGGATGAGCCGCCTGCCGCGCCGCGCGGTGCTGGCACTCATGGGGCTGCTGTTCGCCAGGACCATGGCCTGGACATCCAGCGGGAAGACACACGCGGAGCTGGTCAACAACCTCTACAGTGAGTCCCAGCAGGATCCGCTGGAATGCCAGTATACGGATATTTAATGCCGGTGTATGGGTGTTTAGTGTGACACTGTTCGCTCTGAAGGGCTGGGGTTGATATTCCTGAATTCCACCTTTGTCCCAGCCTGAACTCGTTCTATTTATAACCAGAGAACAAGGTGTTGTGCCAGAAGGGGCAGGAAAGCCTCTGCACGCCTTCCTTCCCTGCTTCTGGAAGTGTGTGACGCCCTTTAAGGAGTTGCAGCTCGGAGCCTGCGGGTGCTGCCGAGTGTCCTGGACACCCAGGACCCCCCTTTTCGGAGGGCAGTGTGACTCCATTTCTCCCCCATTACACTTGGCAGTGCCAGAAATGTGGATGCAGGTCAGCACCACCCTCTGGGGATGGGCTGCTGGCTGGGACCGCAGTGGAAATGGGACGTGATGTCCTTTCATTGGCATTTGTTTTCCGTCCCTCTCACATCTCTCATTAAGGCTGAATTCCCCCAGATCCCTGAACTCCCTGAACTGTGCTTCCCCTTCCAGATCTGTTCTTGCTGAGGGTTTCACTCCTGCCTGTCTCTCTTCCTTCCTTCCCAGAAAAAGGGATCGTTAAGTCCCAGCGAGTCTTCGATGTGCTGTTGGCCACAGACAGAGGTCACTACATCAAGTATTACCCATACATGGATTCTCCTCAATCCATTGGTGAGTCATTTTGGGAAAAGCTCCAGCTGTGGAATCCCTATCCCTGGAAGTGTTCAAGGCCAGGTTGGATGAGGCTTGGACATCCTGGGCTAGTGGAAGGTGTGTCTGCCCATGACAGTGGGGGGAATGAAATGGGCTTTAAGGTCCTTTCCAACCCAAACCATCCTGGGATTCTGTGAAATTCTATTTTTAGGGCAAGGTGTGGGAGAATTAAGGACTGTTCCCATGGGCAATTTTATTCTTTATCAAATAACTTTGTCACCTGTTTCCTTTTAGGCTACAAGGCCACGATCAGCGCCCCACACATGGTAAGATGAAAACTCTTCACTTCAAACAGAAATGGAGGGAATTGTTTATTTCCCTTTTTATATTTCATTTTTCTTCAAGTACAGAAGTGGAACATCCCATGCACATGATTTATCCTGCTAGTTTCTTTAGGGATTTTTTTTGTTTTTAAGAGGAGTTTCCCCTATAATCTTTCAGTTGCTTTAGAAGTGCGCTCAGATGGGAATTCTGTGTTGTCCGTTTTTTTCCCTGCTGTTTCACCTGTAATTCCTGAGCCTCTTCCTAAGTGTGCTCCTGCCAAAAGACCTTCCAGGTCTGAGCCTTGAGTTTCGCTCCGGAAGTATCAGGCACAAGGCCCGGTGTGCTGGGATTAAATCAGAGAACAAAGAAAAATGGTAGCAGAGGAGACTAACCCGGGATGCTTCCCACCTCCATGTCCACACAGCACGCCCACGCCCTGGAGCTGCTCAAGGATCAGCTGGTGGAAGGTGCCAAGGCGCTGGACGTGGGCTCTGGAAGCGGATACCTCACCGCGTGCTTCGCCAGGATGGTGAGCTCACGGCACCCCATTCCCAGCTCGGACAGCGGGAATGTGCTTTCTGTGGGGAGAGCAGGAGGTGGGAGGAAGGGGACACTCTTCCCAGACCAGCTTGTAGCAAAAACAAATACTTTTTCGGGATCTAAATGGAGGCTGTATTTGCCCTGAGATATTTTGTTTGTATATCCACTGTGCAAGTCCATTGTAGGTTCCTTTTAGTTTATGTCTTCATTACTCACAGTCTGTTTCCTTGTTTTCTAAACTCCTGGAATTATTTGCTGTGAAGTGCTAGAAAGCTGGTCAAGTTACTCAGGAGGGTCAATTAGTCAAGAACTTGCCATGGAAGCTGCTAATTCTACCAAATAATGATTTCTCTGGCAATGAAAGATTACTGGGAATCCTTGGAGACTTGGCAGTTAAGGACTACTGGGAATCACTGTGGACAGTGTCTGTGTATCCCTTAAGCAGCTGATAGACTACTCAGCCTTCAAATCAAGAGTGTTTGCACCTCCTGTTTAGAAACTCTGCTCTGGAGCTTATTCCAGCTCTCCAATTCCCACCAAAACCTGCTCCATCAAACACCTCTCTTTGATACGGGAGGTGCCAGGTGTTGGACTGATGTTGCTCTTTCCAGACCGGCCCGACAGGGAAAGCTGTGGGAGTGGAGCACATCAAGGAGCTGGTGCACGAATCCATCCGGAATGTCCAAGAAGATGATCCGACGCTGCTCAGCTCCGGCCGTGTGAAGCTCGTGGGTGAGTTCCGTGCGATCCCGGGGTTGTCCTCTCCGGGAACGCCTCGGCTCTGCTCCCTGAAGTCGTTCCAGTCTGTGTCGGTGCTCTGAGTTGCTAGGAGAACAAATCTTCCCTGCGTGTTTCCCCACCTGCAGTTGGAGACGGCAGGCAGGGATACCCCGAGGAGGCTCCGTATGACGCGATCCACGTTGGAGCGGCCGCAGCGACCGTCCCCAAGGAGGTGAGTGGCCCTGCTGGGTGTCTCTACCTCTTTTATTTTTTTTTTGTGGGAACACTAATTAGGAAGCCACCAGAAGCTTCTATTTTGTCATGACCTTTCCAGCATGGCTTATTTCCAGCGTCTCTTTATTTTTTGAGCTCTGCTCGTCACCAAAAACGTTGGGATAAATCAAACTCTCTGACACTGTTTTCAGTATTAGGGAGGAGGCATTACTTTATTCACAGTGCTGAGTGCATGGGGATGCTCCACCTAAATGCACACCCACTTTCAAAACTTTTCACCACTTAAACATTTTAGCAAACAAAGAAATTACTGTTCATGGGCTATAAATTACGTAATTCTCTTCATTAATTACTACTCTATCATCTATTGATTTCTTGCTTCTCACGCTAATTAGTCCACATTTTCAGTCTTTTTATTATCTTTTAGGGTAGAAAGGGTTTCAGTACAATTGCTGAATTGTCTTTGTTAGTTTCTTCTTCATCTCAGGGTTCTGCAAAATGTCCTTGTGGTGTATAAATTCAGCATTCCCTGTGTCCAGTTTCAGCAGTATATCCAATATTACTCTCCCCCAGGCTTTGTCCATTGAAGCACGTCAAGGTTGGTTACAGTTGTTCTAGCACAACTTAAAGCTCCAGTAATTTTCCCAAACCACGTTCCCACAAGAGCAGCCTGTGAGAAGCCTCGCTAAATGCCGGCTGCAGTGGCAATTATGACTAATTAAAACAATTAGAGAAGTCCTTAGGAAGGTCGTGTCATTTCCAGCGTGCTGACTCGGGTTCCTGTGTTTTCCCAGCTGCTGAACGAGCTGAAGCCGGGTGGGAGGCTGATCCTGCCCGTGGGGCCCGAGGAAGCAAACCAGGTGCTGATGCAGTACGACAAAACCAGCGACGGGCGCATCGTGGAGACCCAGCTCATGGGCGTCATCTACGTCCCTCTGACTGACAAGGAAAAGCAGTGGCCTCGGTAAAGATCTGCTCTTCCCTGAGGAACGTTCCTTCTTCATCTGTCCCTCTGCTTGCTCTTCCTCGGCTTTGCTGACCGAGTCCTGGATCCCTGGCAGATGTAAAAAAAAACAAACAGGAGGAAACAGCTTGGCAGAGCAGGAGAACAAGGGGGTGTTTCCCCTTGGATAGGGCTTGCCAACTTTTATTTCCTCTTTTCCTGGAGCCTGTGTGTGTTTGTAAACCCAGTGTGATGCCGTCGTGGAGCTGATGAGGGCCACGAGTAGTAACTGTTGGTTTTTCTTTGCCTCAGGGATGAACTCTGACATATGGATGGATATCCCTAAAGGCACCTCAGAAAGCTCATGAGTGGGACTTAGGCCTGTAGATGGTCGGTATGGTTTTGCTTTTTAACGGAAATTTTATCCGTGGATAAAGGGAAGGGAAGTTCTGCTTCAGCAGAGCTCATTCCGGAGGGATGGAGAACGAGGGCAGGACCAGAGGAGGCTCTTGGAGGCCACGGCAGCTTCCAGGGAGCGGATCCGGGTAACTCCAGCTACCCTCTCCAATAAACTACAGATAACATCACAGAATTCCAGAAGCAGACAGGAATACTTAAACCTTCACTAAAACAACTTTAATATCGACTACTCTGCTTTAACGCTTGGTGAAAAGAAGTCACAATTAGTGTCTCAGAGCAGTGAGACTGATTTGTGTGTTTTTAATTATGGGAATTCTGGTCGTGCAACCACTAATTTAATCTTGGGCAGCAACACTGAAATTTGGGGTTAAGGAAAAAATTCTCATTTCTTTTGATTTTTTCTGTTTGGGGTTATGAAAAATGCTCATTACTTCTGGGTTTGGGTTTTTTTTTCTGTTCAGGGTTAAGAAAAGTTCTCATTTCCTGGGTGGTTTTTTTGTGGTGTGTTGTGGGGTTTTTTTGTTTGTTTGGTTGTTTTTTTGGGGGTTTTTTGTTTTGTTTTGTTTGGGTTTTTTTGTTTGTTTGGGTTTTTTTTGTTTTGGTTTTTTTTTTCCGTTTGGGGTTATGAAAAATTCCGGGCTTAAGAAAAAAAGCGCAATTCTTGGCTTTTCCGTGTCTGGGGTTATGAAAAATGCTCATTTTTCGGCTTTTCCCCGCCGTGCCCCTCCCGCGGGCGGTGACCGGGGAGGCTCACGAGAGGCCGGCGGACTGCGGTGAGGCTCGGGGCTCACTAGTGGGACAGTTCTGAGGAGGGGACTGCTTTGAGGTAAATAAAGGCGGTAAATAAAGGCAGTAAATAAAGGTAAATGACGGCGCTGCCGCTCCCGCCCCCTCCTGAGGCGATTGGGGGGGGTTGGAAAGGGCGGGAAAGGGGCAGGCCCTGCAGGGGGCGTGGCCTCGCGGCGATGCGCCGCGCCGATTGGCCGCTCCGCGGCGCGCGCAGTGATGCGTGGCGGGCTGCGCCGCGCGCCGTGTGCCACGTGGGTGCGCTGGGCCCTTCCGCCCCCCAGCCCGCCCCGCGGGGCCATGGCCGAGCCGGGACCGGAGGAGCCGGGCAAGGAAGGAGCGGCGCCGGCCCCCAAGAAGCGGCGGCTGGCGGGCGGCGAGCGGTACGTGCCGCCGCCGCGGAAGCTGAGCACCGGCGTGAGCTTCGGCGCCGAGCACTTCGCCGAGACCTCGTACTACTTCGAGGGCGGGCTGCGCAAGGTGCGCCCCTACTACTTCGACTTCCGCACCTACTGCAAGGGCCGCTGGGTCGGGCGCAGCCTCCTGCACGTCTTCGGCACCGAGTTCCGCGCGCAGCCCCTCGACTTCTACCGCGCCGCCGCCCGGGCCGGCCGCCTGCGCCTCAACGAGGAGCCCGTCCGCGACCTGCACGTCGTGCTCAAGGTGCGCGACCCCCGGGCCGCGCGGTCACATAGCCCCGGGGAGGGGTTGGACGGGACCGTCGGCCCTCCCGGGGAATCCCTGCCCCTGCGGGGTTGGGGGTGCGTGGATGCTGCAGCTCCGGGTGTGCCCAACAGGTTCCCGCTCAGCCCCTGGGAATGGGAATATATGCCACGGGATTCATGCGGGGGCACGCTCTGTTGTTATCCAAAATCCAGGGGGCCAGGAGAGAAAGGCTTTAATTCCCCCTACACACACACACACACACACATAGACACATTATCAAGCCCCGGGGGGTGTCCACAGGCTGGATCCCGGCTGACCGCCCGTATTCCCCGCAGAACAACGACTTCCTGAGGAACACGGTGCACCGGCACGAGCCGCCGGTCACCGCCCAGCCCCTCCGCATCCTGGCGGAGGACGAGGAGGTGGTGGTGGTGGACAAGCCCTCCTCGCTGCCCGTGCACCCCTGCGGCAGGTTCCGGCACAACACCGTCATCTTCATCCTGGGCAAGGAGCACGGGCTGACGGAGCTGCACACCCTGCACCGCCTGGACCGCATGACCTCGGGCGTCCTCATGTTCGCCAAGACCGCGGCCGTGTCCAAGAGGATCGACGAGCAGGTCCGGGAGAGACAGGTCAGAGAGCAGCGGAGTCGTTTGTACCGTGTTCTCCTGCAGCAGGTTTGGCCAAAAATCAGTCGGATTTGGGGTCTAAACGAGCACGAGTTCCCTGAACAGCTTGTGGTCGAGTTGCTGTTCTTAACCTCTTGGTGCTTCTCGTCCTTCACAGGATAAAGGCAGAGTGAAAATTTAATTGAGCTTGGTAGTATTGGCTTGGAAGGGATCTCCTCAAAATCCAACTGGTTTTGGTAATATTGGCTTGGAAGGGATGTCCTCAAAACTTAGTTGATTTTGGTAGTATTGGATTGAAAATATTAAGTTGAAAACCCTAAACATTTTAACTGATTTTGGTAATACTCTATTGAAAGGGATCTCCTGAAAATTTAAATGAATTTGGTAATTTCAGATTGAAAATACTAGATTGAAAACCCTGAAAACTGAATTGATTTTGGTAGTATAGATTAGAAGGGATCTCCTAAAAAATTTAATTGAATTCAGTAATATTAAATTGAGAAGGATCTCCTGAAACTTTTATTGAATTTGGGAATTTAATTGAATTTAGTAATAGTGAAGGAGTCTCCTGAAAATTCAATTGGTTCTGGTAATATTGCATTGGAAGGGCTCTCCTTGAAGTTTAATTGATTTTGATAATATTAGATTGAAACATTTGGTAATACTAATTGAAAATATTAGATTGAAACCCCTAACCATTTAACTGCTTTTGGGAACAGTGGACTGGGAGGGACCTCCTTCCCTAAGGGACTGTCCCAAGGGACTGTGCAAACTGAGTGGGATCATGCAAACCAGTTAGAGAGCAGGTTTGTTTGTGAGCGGATGCAGATCAATCATCCAATCTTTCAGTTTTCAAATTCCCATTTTTCCAGAGTCTCTTGACCCAAACAAAACTCTTTCAGGGACTGGCTGTAGGGCTGTAAACGAAAGGTTGCAGAGAGATGGCTCCTGGATGTCATATGAGGAAAAAAGGCCAGACTCTTTCCCCAGCTAACTGGGGAAAATGTGAGGGGAATTTGGCTTTGAATAGCTCATTTAATTTTTTTTCCCTCCCCTATTGTAATGAAATGTTTCCTGTGGATGTATTTCATGGAACGGAAAGGGGGAGGAGGAGTGAGGATGAGGCCTGGGTGTATTTTCTGCTGTGTTTCCTGAACATTCCTCTTGTATCTCCCGGTAGCTGGAGAAGGAATACGTCTGCCGGGTGGTGGGGATGTTCCCAGAGCATGAGGTGGTGTGTGAGGAGCCCATCCTGGTCGTCTCCTACAAAGTGGGAGTGTGCCGCGTGGATCCCAAAGGGAAACCCTGCAAAACCATCTTCCAGAGGCTCAGCTACAATGGGAAGACCAGCGTGGTCAAGTGTCTGCCCCGCACGGGCCGCACGCACCAGATCCGGGTGCACCTCCAGTACCTGGGGCACCCCATTGTCAACGATCCCATCTATAACATGGAAGCGTGGGGCCCTGACAGGGGGAAGGGCGGGAAGATCGGGAAAACGGATGAGGAACTCCTGAAGGCGCTGGTGGAGGAGCATCGTTCCAAGCAGAGCCTGGAGATCTTGGGTATTTCGGAGGAGGACTTGAACTCCGGTGGTGAAAGCAAAGACTGTGGGGATTCAGGTGACTGCACAAAATCTGCAGAGGCTGATCCTGTAAATGGGAATTCCTGCCCTGCTGAGGATGTGAAGGATCCTGAGAGGGATGCAAAGGATCCTCAGAAGGATGAGAAAGATCCTGAGAGGAATGATGTAGCAGCTTGTCCACCAAACTCTGATACCAACCTGGAAACACTTGAGAAAGACAAAGAGCTCGGTTCATGTGGGAATCAGGACGGGCAAACGGGACAGAAAGGTTGGGAAGAGAAGGACCCTTTATGTGTGGAGTGTAGGATGAGCAGGCGGGACCCTTCTCCCAAGGAGCTGGTGATGTTCCTGCACGCCCTGCGCTACAAGGGAGCAGGGTTTGAGTATTGCTCCAGCATGCCCGAGTGGGCAATGGATGACTGGGAGGAATGACCAGGGATATCCGACACCTCTGGACACTGCTGGCTGGGAAAACAGCTCGGGAAGACCAAAGATTGACTTTTCAATGATGTGGACAAACTGCCTGGAGGTGGGGTGGGAAGGATCATTCTGTCCTGACTTCTGACACTGTGGAAAATGAGCAGGGAAATAGGGCTAAAATGTGAGGTTTATGTTGCCCCTTAGTGAACTGGCACTTGAGGGCAACAAAGACCAAACTCTGCTGGTCACAGGCAGCTTTGCCTTCATCTCAGTGGATTCTGGATCAATTATCCACACGGATAATGAAGTGCATGCACTAAAAGTCAATAACTGGTTTGCCTGCCGGGTTCTTGTGTCTTAAAATACGAGCCGCTGGATGTCATATCATAAAACTCCCTATTTTTACAGTGTTTTATTGTCAGATTGATTTTAAAACTCAAATATTATTACTGAGAGTGCTGTGAGGTAAAACCAGAGCACTGTGATCCCAACTTGTTTTGTGTCTGCTGTTTGTCAGCAAGGTCGACTTGCCTTTAAAATTCCTCTGCCAGTATTCATTCAAATAATTATTTAATTTATAAAGTTAGGAGTTCTGGGTGCTGATGTCTTGATATTGGGCCTGGTTTTGGAGGTATTGGTCCTCAGATTTTGTCTTTAAGATATTTGTTTAATATCACTTCAGTGTGACAGTCACTTTTCAAGATACACAAAAGCTGCTCTATGAACCAGAATACTTATTAAAAATAATTCTATATTAATATATTCCCAGAATGATAAATACCACTATAGCTCTTATTTTCACCAGTGTTTACACTGTCGATTCTTGGCCTTTGGGAGGCTTGTTATAATAATTTTGGGGACCTCAGGTATTTTTCCCTTAGAATTTAAAACTTTCCTTCTAAAGTCAGTTGATGTCACCAGGATCAGGATGTGGGTGCCAAGCCAGAATAATCCAGTGCTTACTTCCAGTAGCTCAAAGGAGCCACGTGATTTCTTTCTCTGCTGGATCATCCAGCTGATGTGTTGAATATTTCCATAAAAATTCACTCGGGTTTGAGCTTTGTTCTTCCACATTCTACTTTAGTCACAGATATTTGAAGAGATGATGGTAAAAATCAGTGCTCTTTAAATTTTTCATGCATTGAAATACATATTTCATGGAACTAAATGAAACTTGGGCACCTTCAGTGTATAAAAAAGGGTGGCTGCTGCTGTTACTGGATTTGGATGCAGGGATAAGGGGAAAGATTTAGGGACAACAGTTAAATTACACTTTGAGGTGTCCCAAGTTACAGTGGGAGGTGTTTTGTAAGAAATTTTTGCAAGAAATAAGTCCTTGAAAGGAATTTTCCTGGTTTGGGCTGGTAGATGGAGGCTGGGGCCAAAGTGCCTTATGAGGAACTGGAGCTCAGTTCTGCCTTTTCCCTTTTTCCTGGAATAGTTGCTGCCTTTGGCATCTTTTTATTCCAGGTCAAGAAACCCCTGGGCTTCTGATTGTAGGATACTTTAAACAAGGCAGATTTAAGCTTAATTTCGCAAGGATCCTACCACCAACTGCATTGTATTTAATTTTATTTAAAATT